CGCAGCATTCCATGCGACCCCGCCCGCCCGCCATTCAACAGTTTGCGCGCGCGGTCGCCTCCGCCTCCGCCTCCGCCTCCGCCTCCGCCTCCCATGCGCCGCTGCGATGCTCTCGGCAGCAGCCCGACGTCCAACGATTAATCACCACGTGGCGCCAGGCAAGAAGCGCCGCTTGGAGGCGGCTGCCCCGCTCACCCTCCCCCCGACCCCCCGCTTCATTAGGCCTCCTGGTGCCTTCGCGACGCGACTCCTAAACGCCCAGCAGCCTTGCTGCTCTGACGCCTTCAAATTGGGATCTCGCGTTCTGTAGTAAAACCTTGGTAATACGAATGTAGAGAGGAATAGAAACAACAAAGTTTTCCAGTATTTCAACTTATCGAGATTTCCAGGATTTTCAGAAACGTATCGAGTTTTACAGCATCTCGATTTTTCATGTTTTCAATATTTTGATTTGCTGTGTTTTCCAGTATTATCTTTATTTATAGTATTTAGCTTCAATATGTAGATTTATCGAGTTTCCCAAAATTTAAACTTATTCTATATTTTTTGACTATCTAGTTACCGGTTACCGAACCTTGTGTCAATTAAGTGGAAGGGAATGACGAAATTCGACATACATATCGAGGAATTCGAATTATTGAGTTCCAAGCAATCCCTGTTTCAGTACTTTACCTTTCTTGGAGATTTAAGATTTCTGAGACAGTTTGTTTCGGATCTCCTTCTCCTGCTCGCTCCCATACCTCCGCCCCCATAGGGCTTTCAGCTGGACGCTAACTTTATAACAACAAACAGCTTTGCTGGACTGATGCCGAGTTTTGTGTTCACTCAAGTTCTTGTAGTTTATGAATATACACGATTTATATTTTATTTTAAATGTGAAGATCTGCCTTCGAAGAATAATTTCATTTAAAAATCCGTTCTCTACCTTCAATATTGTAATTGTACTTGAATAGCGCCCAAAAAATTGAACTTTCTGAATTATTTTTTTAGTTAAAATAATACCTTCATCATTTTTAAGCGTCATTTATTCTATACGAAAAGTCAAAAACTAATCAAAACTTTAAAAAAAACGCTCAACTTTTAACGGGTTATGAACCTTACTTACAAGATTGATCAGCAGTGTGTTGGAAGGAACTTACAAAATGATTGTATTACGAGTGGTATGGAAGTAGTGGTAGTAGCAGCAGTAATAATAATTTTCTTTGGAATTTATTTCGACCAATACTATAACTGAGCTTTCGTGACATACACCTACCAACGCCCAACATCATCTACGACATTCTTTAACTTTAATTATGACCCCGCTTTTCTTTTCTGTACATTGCTTTTCTCATCTTCTGTTTTGAGAGTCCCATTTCTCACTAGAAGGCAATGAATTCGCCCAAGCCCCGCCTCATTCTCTGCAGCCAACGCCCCTTTTGAATGTTTTCGTGCCTTTTGAGTACAATCCAATAGAATCACTGCTTACGTGTGCTTTGAAGTCATTTTCAGTTATCGTCTTCAGGTATATTTAAAACAATACAAAGTACAAAACACTTTTCTCGATGAATATTTTTTGAATGTAAGTGTAAAATATAAACTATTCATAAAATTGATTGTTCTAATTTGTTTCGTGTCTTCTCCATTAGATGTTTATTAAATTCACTTGAATAATAATTTCTAAAATTTAAAATACGCAAAATTTCTACCTAAAAAAATTATATTTTACCTCCAAAAACGAACCTTTTTCGTTTCAATTCAGTTATATTAGAATATGCGTGTAAAAATAGATATATTAAATATTTTATTACAATAATCGCCTATGTGATAATTTTTATTGTTTATTAACTAGTGTACTCGCTTTGCCCGGGTATTTAGAGCACCCGTCAAGTAGATGGAGAAATAAATTAATTCTATCACTAAAGGTCTCTCAGAACGACTATTACAAACTTTTAGGGCAAGTAGAGAGGTTAAAAATGATTAATATTCGCCAGGGAACATGCAGTAGGAGATATACTGTATTTAGAAGCTCGCGTTACAAAACTAGTTGTGTTAAAACAGCATGTACTTTACACAAAATTACGCAAAGAGTACTCAAATTTTCGAAAAATTATACATATCCCTATTTCAAAATCAATTTTGAAGGAACATATTTCATTAAGGGAAAAATGTCTTTTTATATTTTAGTTGTAGAAAGACCCCAAACAAATTTTTAACTTTTACAAATTACGAAAAATCAGAGTTTCACCGATTAGCCGCTATCCTTGGTCATAGACGTCGTCACGAGATAAAATTCCCGTGGAAATTATTGGAAGTTCGAGCATATATTAATGACACAAAATATGTGTTAACGAGATAAATTTTATATTAATGAGATAAATTATATATTAACGAGAGAGTAGTTCTTTGTTTTCTGTGGTCGCTTGAATATCGCGGGCTTATTATATTGATCAGAATTGAAAAGTAATTTCAAATTTTCTCTTTTGTTTTGTGTTAAGTGTATTACTGAATTGAAAGTTTTAATTTTGAAGAAAAAAAATTATGAATTATTCACACCAATTCTGTTCTTCGTCCTCTCCTACCAAGTAAGTTTTTATTAATTTTATTGTGATCGGTTTAATGACTTTATGATACAGGGTTGATGATCTGATCATTATAAATATTACTTAAAAAATAAGTGAAAGTAGAGTAAACAAAAATCGCCATATGCCTGTAAATCTTAAATAACTTTTCAGCCCATTTTCTTACGAGATCTCTCTTCCAAACGTACAAAAATTCCATTTTTTGATTTTGTAATTATTTCCCAAACTAAAATTGGTTCGAAATCAGGAGCAGGCAAGATGCGAAAATTCCAAATGAGTTTAGCCAGAACGCTCTTGAGTTCCAGCATTGCAAACCGCTGTCCTGAAACCAGAGAATACGCAGTCAGAAATTCATTATTACTTTTTGATGTTGATACAGAAAACCAAATCTAAACTAGTCTGAAATATACTGAAGTCTGAGTCACGGATTAGTAATATTTCATGTGTCATGTAATTGAAAAACGTTTTTGAATGTGCTGAAATACAATTTCAGAACAAAAATCAACAAACAATCTCACACAGAGGGAAAAGATAAAGAAGGAAAAGGAAATTAAAATAAGGAAAGAAAAGTGAAAAAAATGGAAAAAAGAAAGAAGAATAAAAGAAGAGAAGATATACAAGAAGAAACGTTACAAAATTATGCCAGCATGAACAAAGAATACAGGGAAAGATAAATGAAGAAAATATGTAAGCAATGATAAAAACAAAGATAATCAGAAAGAAAATATGTCGACACCAGACTTTGTAGGTAGTGTAAAAGTTTTGGTATCTGCTGTGCTTCTTACTCATACCAATTCAGTTGCAAGGGTCGGAGCTGAGATGAAGGTAAAAGGATCGAAAAATGAAAGAAAGAGAAACAATAAGAAAGAAGGAAATGAAAGTACTGATATGCAGATATTGTGGATATGTCAATTGAAAAACACATAGTTTCCATTGGGAGGTGTACTAGACCTTTCGGTTGCTGTAATGGGATCGGCAAAGAAAGGAAAGTAAGCGAAGTATGCCCGGAGCCATTACCGATGTATAGTAGAACCTCGCTAATCCCAATTGCGGATAATCCGAACAAAATTGGGATGGGAAAAAAACAAAATGAATAAAATGTTTATTTGTAGTGTAAAGAAAAGATTTTGCAATTACTAAACTGATCAACTCTTTATTGAAACACAATTTGTTGAAATAACACTGGCGGAACGAACTTCTGCTGAGATCCCTCTACAAACGCACCGGTAACTACGGTGTATATCAGAGATTTCTGTAGCAGTATAGAGAAACTTGCAAAATTGTTAATCTACTTATGTCGTAAAGAACAATCTGCTTGATGATGCGATTTGATGGTGAGAGGGTGAGATCGCTACGGAACGATGCAATTTTCTCTCATCGCACGCTACGTTGCTTTGTCTGGTAATCCTATAGATGTATTTGTATATACGGTACATTTTTGTTCGGATAATCCGAATCCGAACAGACTTTACCCCCAATTAGCTCGGAATACCGGGGTCTACTCGATTTGCACAAATCGGCGCTCGAAGGGAGGTAAGCGATCGGGTTGTGGAATAGCCCTTCTTTCGAAGTTATTGGAAAAGGCAGTGAAAGCGATGTGTATGAAGTGGAGCGTTGGAGCCCCTACAGAACGTTCCGAGATCTAAGTTTGAAAAGGAAATAGGCTGAGTGTGATACAGTGATAATCTGTACCCTTATAGGGTCGAACCTCTGCACTGGGTGGGAGGTAGACGAAAGATTCGTGTCGGCTCACGAGATCCAGCACTGAGAGACAACTGATAGAAGTATCGGTGCCATTACGAGATCTAGCACGAAAGGGAGGTAAGCGAAGGAATATGTGGGAGCTCTTACCGGTGCAGTTGCGGCTTCCGGTACAGAAAGAAAAGCAAGTAAATGTGTGTGTGTGTATGTGTGTTAGAGCCATTTGTGGAATACGACACTTGAAAGGAAATTCCATGAAAGGCTGCTGACAGTCCTTACCGAAGCAGTTGCGCGATTGGAAGGAAGGTAAGTGTAGTGGGTGTAAGAGACTTTACTGATGCACTTACGCGGTCTAGCACTGAATGACAGCTAAGGGAAGGGGTGTTTGGGAGCCCTTTGCGGAATACAACACTTTCAAAGGAATTCGCAAAGAGCTGTGTGAGAGCCTTTCCCGAGGAGTTCCGCGATCCGCCATTGGAAAGGAGGTAAGCGTGGGGGAGTACGAGTGGGAGGTCCTTACCGATGCAGTTCCGAGATCCAGCACTGAAAGGGAGGTAGGCGAAGGGATGACGACGCACAGTCTCCTCTGGGGCGAAGCGCTGCGGGTCGAACTCGTTCGGCTCAGGAAACACTTCTGGGTCCCGATGCAACAAATGGAAAGTTAAAAAGAGCATTGCGCCAGCAGGAACGGTCAGGGGACCTGAAACAAACAGACCAGAAGCAAAACTGAAATACTCGGTATGTTCATTGAAGCACGCCGCGCAATGCTTTTCAAACTGCATTCTTGTGATAAAGTGAGAGGCCCAACTAAACTCTAATTATTGCAGTTGGGCCACTCTTCGTTGGGAATCACTACAATTGGGGCGGTAGTTAGAAGAAGGGACCTATACTCCAAAACTGTATTTTGAAGAAAACGTATTTAAAGTTTTTGATCACAGAATTCTATACATTAGAGAATATAATTAATTATTTTTAAACTCCATTTCATTTAAAACGTAATTAATTTCTCGTTAATTTCAAACATGTCGCGTGAAGAAGAAAATGCGTTGTGCACCATTCTTCTCGAGAACATTTAAATTGTGTAAATAGTAGATATTTTAAAATTTTAATTAAAATTTATTATAAAGTACCAATACAAATCATTATGTTGTTTGCTATCAGTATTTTACATCGCAGTTCATCATGTGTGAAATCAGATTTGGACTCACTTTAGTCGACATTTCCTGTGCACATAATGAATGTATAAGAAAAAAATATTTTTATTCGCTGCATATTCACTAAGAAACAAAACAGACAAACTAACTGAAAATACTCATTACAGTTTGAATATTGCTCTTGCAACCTAACGAATAGAAGTAAAATCATGAAAATGTGCTAGGTTGTATATTAAAGTACGCAGACTTAATTTCTCTACTCTCCGGAAGAGCCCGTAGTTCTATAGACCATATTCTAGCTATCACTTCAATTGATGAACTATTGTGCACACAGTCCTAAGTTTTCAAGAATTTAAAAGGAATAAATGTATATGCTATTCGTGTAAACCAAAATATTACTGAAATAAGGAAATAGCGAAAAAAATTACCATTAAATATTTTGGCGTAAAAATATACAAACACTTCCGAAGGGATCCATTATGGTTGACCAGACAGGCAGACAAATACCACGCATTGTAATCGGATAAGTGAATAGTAGAGGAAATAATTACAATTTGTAGACAACTCCAAGCAGAGGAAAACTTGTAGTGCTGCAATAGCCCATGCTTTCTTACCTTCTTTGTATCGGCAACAGTATAAATGTAAAACAAAACGTGCAAAAGTGTTCCCAATTTGCGAATTGATTTTTCCTCGCTGAAATTGCAACTCATTCGTAGATTTAGCACGTCATTCATATTACTGAGTGCTTTGTTCTATCCGACAAAAATATCTTGAAACAAACGGAAGCGAATTCAGTCCTGTAAAGTTCTCGACAAAATCAATCTATCTTTTTTTAAATTCACAGGGTCTAGAGATTTGTCAGATTGATTGGGGATTATCAGTATTGCAGAAAATAGTCCTAATAGTGAAGACTGACGGACGAAAGGAATTTTTCAATCCAACTTCCAGACGTCTTGCCAGACGCAATTTTTTAGTATCAACCACCCACAAATGTGGATTGTGACTTTTGGATTATGATTACACACAACCAAGTATTCACCAAGCTTCACTTCAAACGCGTCTAGTTTGAAATAGAGCTGAGTGACACATACACTATGTGATCAAAATTATCCGGCTGAAAATGACTTACCAGTTCGTGGCGCCCTCCAACGGAATTCAATACAGTATTGGCCCGCACTTAGTCTTGACGACAGCTTCTACTCTCGCAGGCATACTTTCAATCAAGTGCTGGAATCTTGAGGATTTCTTCACGAAGTGCTGCACTGATGAGAGGTATCGATGTAAGTCGGCATTCCAAAACATCTCAAAGGTGTTCGATAGAATTCAAGTCAGGACTCTACGCAGGCCAGTCCATTACAGGGATGTTATTGTCGTGTAACCACTGCACCACATGCCGTGCAGTATGAACAGGTGATCAAACGTGTTGAAAGATGAAATAGTCATCCCCGAATTTCTCATCAACAGTGGGAAGCAAGAAAACATCAACGTACGCCTGTGCTGTGATAGTGCCACACAAAAGAACAAGGGGCGCAAGCCCCCTCCATGAAAAACACGACCACACTATAACACTATTTTGGATATTCGACCGGATGCCGTGATCACATAGTGTATTTCCACCAACCCGATAACTCACTCACCCTCCCACTCATCTCGACAGGCACGCCGACAGACAGACAGAGACAGGCTGGCATCCTGATATATGAGTACGTAGATGGCGTGCATCTCCTCGCCATTTTCACAACCATGTTAACTATATTTGCATCAGCGTTAATAGACAGACTTGAATACAAAGTCCAAAAACGTGAGATCGTACTTCTGATGTAAATGCACTGGAACTGCGAGTGCACTGGAATTTGAATGGACGGTAGGCGTGGCAACGCTCTGTTGGTTTAAAGTCGGGTGCGAACATAAGGCCGAGTGCGATAGAGGATTGTCATAATATAAACCCCAATTCCATAAATTCACAAATTTTCGTTATTCGTTTGCCTCTGAAAAAATAAATACTTTTTTTCTTCAACGATGTTTAAAAATACCCTCCTCGATTCGATTGATTTTATGCTCTACCCTCATGATGCATTAGAACACGAGAAATCTTCTGGAAACTAATGAGCAGTAAAAAGGCGTCTCTCGGCAAAATAATACGAGAATCACTGCATCAATCATGTAATAGAAATAGCATCACGTCAATACGATCGCGCTTTTTAACTCACTAAATTCAGTTTACGTTTCTTTCGAGATGTAACTTACACGCATCAAAATCAAGGTATTTTTGGTCTGTTTCAAAGATGGTGAAGATCGGTGCAGGAGCCGAGTCTATTTGACACGCCGTAGTCTATTTGAAAATGTTGGTTTGTTCGTTGGTTGATTAGAGATTCCAAAAGCGTAGACTGTGAAACTTAATATTCCCATTCGTGTAGTAAGTGTTTTATCGCGAGTGGTGTCATTGATTTTCCCCCACTGGGTTGGGAAATCCAGCGCCTTCGTCTAGCAATGTTTTGCCCAACTACGTATCTCCCACCAGCAGGGCACAACTTCATTTCTTCATTCCTACAGCAGCACAGCAAAATCAATTTGAACCTGAGTAGGAGGAAAGCAACTATCATTCGACTTCTTTAACTCATGTGCAAGTGTAAATGTGTGTGTGTGTGTGAATCGGAGACGATGAATTGATCACGCGCGTCACGTTCATGAGAGTACTGCTACGGTATTCACCTGGTGTGGATCGGATAAATCACGGAAAACAGCTGATTACAGCAGCATGCAGCTAGAATAGTCTTGCAGGTAGCTGTTGAATTCGCTGTGTAGCTAGTGGGGGAAATTCTTCCCAGCATTGAAACACGAACCAAGGACCTCCCGGTTAGAGGCACTGCACTGACATCATTTGATACTATGAGCCATCTCTCCGGGTCCGCACATATCCACAGTCAGCACCGTATACTCCAAATAGCAATTATTAAGTACAACATTCATTCTTACAGTGGAGGGTATCAGTAAAGTTTCTGGGCCCAGAACGTGGCGTCTCCAAGATATCCATGCTCTCAAATTATTTTAGATTTGGCCAAATATGCCGACTGCGACTTACTTGATGCAAGACGAAAGTCGCTGGTTATTTGTCTGCTCACCGCGCCCACTGGTGGAAAAATTCGCAGTGACTCCTTGATCACCATATCGAGGTATTTGAGTTCAGACAGATCATGAATGGTCGGGTCCAAAGGCTTCGAGGTGTCGAATATCGAATCCAGCTCTTCCAGCACTTTCTCCTGCAAGAAGATAATAATAAAGTTACAATCACTTGTGTTTGGAGTTTTTATAACAAATGTTATACTTGTGCTTGCACGTCAAGTTTTTAAAATAATCGGATAAAAGAAAAATTGAATCTGAAACACTGAAAAGCCAAAAATGGTGTAGCGTCCTTAAGACTCTTCATCGATTGCAATATGTGAGACTTGCTTTCGACAATTTAAACGTGATGATTTCAATGTGAAAGAGAGCGCGCCCTTTGGGAAACCACAAAAATGCCAAGACCGGCAATTGCAGGCGTTACTGGATAATGACCCAACTCAGAATCAACAGCAATCGGCCAAAGCATTAAATGTGTCGCAACAAACTGTCAGCAGACGTTTAAGGGCAGTGAAGACAATCAGTAAACTCGGAAAAAGGCTCTCATACGATTTGATTGCGTAGGCTTCCGCGGCCGGAGTTTGTTATCTAGATTATCCGGGACGAGCCGCTTCGCAGACATGGTGACTAACACTTCGGTCAGCGTATTGTGGCCACCTTCAGTGTGTATTGTTGAGCGGAGTTGATCTGTTGCAATCTTCTTCACAGTAATGCGCTCTGAACAAGGCGACAATATGCTGGCCGAAACGTTAGCCATCATTTCAGTGACATTTCGGCTCGTCCCGGATAGCCTAGATATCCCATACGATTTGGATGAAAGGCAAACGCACGACAAGGCGCCATCTCACGTAGTAAGACCAGTGGAAGACACCTTGAAATCACTTGGATGGGACATCCTTCTACACCTCCCGTACTCCCCTAATCTGGCGGCATCTGTCTATCACCTCTTCACGTAGAAGCCGATTGCCAATATTTTGAATAAACAAAAAACGAATTCCCCTTGAAAATTACATATTTTCTTTACCAAAAAAGCCGGCAAAAACTTATGCATACACCTAGTAGATATTGTTGAAAATCTATTCATCGTCGTGACTGCAACCCCTGAACCTCCCGGTGAGAGCCATTGCAATGATTTCAGTTGATGCGTTGAGCCACCTTCGCCGGTATCATCGGAATAATTATAACGTTTACGAAATACCTGTTGTCTGTACCCATTCTGCAAGAATGATGCATTGTTAGTTATGTCTAGATTTCAAAAGACGTTACAAAATCATTAACGAGAATTCCAAAAATAGGTTTGCGCTACATAAAAACATACTTTACAAAAAGAAGCCAAACGAAAGAATACTTCAAGGAGAACGCGACCTCCCTTACAATAATATTTTAGCACTCATTGGCGTACTCATTTCAGAATGATGACCATTTAAAACTCGGTCACTTGAGTAAAGCATATTTGAAGCGTTCATTTTGTAATTGCTCATTTGGTTTAAAATAGGTATTTGTGACTTGGTATTTTACGTCTATTTATTGGTATACAAAAGAAAAAAGGCGCTTTGCGATGAAAAATACGTTCAATCAGAATAATCGGATTTGGCATACGCTGAACACGTGTTAGCTGTATGATCATACCTGCACAGCGGGATGTCGCGACAAGAGGAAGGCAGTGAAGGAGATGGCGGCGGCCGTGGTGTCATGGCCTTCGAACATGAAGGTGTCCACCTCCTCGCGGATGTCGGCGTCGGACAGGCTGCCATCTCTCGCGATGAGAAGCAGCAGGTCTAGGAAGGCCACGCGGCACCGCCGACCTGCAGCACAACGCGGCACTGTGGTTTATAAAAGAGCACTTGCAACACAACGCGGCGCTCGTGGGGCACTGCCACTGCAGTTTACAATAGAGGACTTGGAACACAACACGGCGCTCGTGGGGCACTGCCACTGCAATTTATAATAGAGGACTTGTACAACAACACGGCGCTCGTGGGGGACTGCCACTGCAATTTATAATAGAGGACTTGTAACACAACACGGCGCTCTTGGGGGACTGCACTGCAATTTATAATAGAGCACTTGTAACACAACACGGCGCTCGTGGGGCACTGCCACTGCAATTTATAATAGAGGACTTGTAACACAACACTGCGCTCGTGGGAACTGCCATTGTGGTTTATAATAGAGCACTTGCAGCACAACACGGCACTCGTGGGGCACTGCCACTGCAATTTATAATAGAGGACTTGTAGCACAACACGGCTCTCGTGGGCCCCTGCACAGTGGTTTTAATAGAGGACTTTAAACAAACACGGCGCTCGTGGGGCACTGCCAATGCTGTTTATAATAGAGCACTTGTATCACAACGTGGCGCTCGTGAAACACAGGCACTGTGGTTTATAATAGACAACTTGTACAACAACACGGCGCTCGTGGGGCTCAGGCACTGCAGTTTATAATAGAGAACTTGTAACACTACACTGCGCTAATGAGACGAGGTCAATGTGGTTTATAATTAAGGGTTTAGCGCACAACGTACTGCCTATCGACCTTAGCCCCTGCAATTTATTGTAGGGAATTTTGAAACACACAATGCACTAATCGAACACTGTCACTGCAGTTTATTATGGTATACAGTGGCTGTAATTTATTAAAATGAATTTGTAGCACAATATAATGCTCCTAGGCACAGTCACTCTAATTAATTATAAAGGATGTCGTGGCAATCTGCTGTAGTGCAACATGGTTCTCACTCACTGTAATTTATTATATAGGACCTGCACCTTAACATTGCACTGATTAACTACTGTAATTTATATTAGAGCGCTATCAACACAATGGCGTTGATTAGACAAAATCACTGTAATTTATATAGAGGACTCGCAGCAGCTCGTGGCGCCGGTAGGCACAGTCACCGTTATTTATAATGAAGGGATTTTTGCACAACATGACGCTGATGCGGCACAGTCATTCTAATTTCTTATCGATAAATTGCAAAACATTATGGTGGTTATGTGGACAAGTAATTGCAGTCTCTGATAAACTTTGAGAATAGCATCGTTCACAGTCACTATAATTTATTATAGAGAACTTGTAGCCCAACATGACGTTGAATGGAAAAAGTCTCTATTTATTATAGAGAACGTGCAGCACTCTATGTCGCCGATAGACCAAAGCCAATGTAGTTTATTAAATAGGCAGCACAACATTGTACTCGTACGGCATGTTCTCTTGAATTAATTTTTGACTTCTTACCGCAGAGCTTCAGTAAATTCGCTTAAATGTATTGCCATGCGTATTAAATGTTTCGTGCTCTAACCTAGCTCATCCACATCAAGGGTTTTGCCCTCGCTTATTTTCTCCAGTTCTGTCCTCCTTTCTCGGATCACCTGCAAGTAAGTTTCAACACGTTTCAAATAAAAATAAACATCTAAGTCTAATATTAAAGTCTACTATTCGTATTCACACATGATATTCTGTGTAGTATTTATTATATGCACAGTGTTTGAGTGCGCCTTGCGATAACAAGGCCACTAAAGTTTGATGAATCAAATTTTTAATTAAATTGCATATTAAATTAAATTAATTTTCATATGAAATATGTTCAACTTGATATGCATTTGTTTGCTATGAACTAGTAAATAAAGAAAAAACGTCAATTGCTTAATTTTGGGTCATAATCAAGATTGTAGGAGAGCACAAAAATTTAAATTGAAATATTTAATTTCACAATTGCGTTATAACTTCTCGACAAATTCAAAATTACTAACATGTAAAGTTAAGTTGAATATTAATGCAAGATATTACTATTCATTGTTCTTAGGAAATTGTAGTATTTTAAAACTTTATTGGGATGAGTGACGAAATTTTAATAATATATTCGTATTATAAAAGACTTCTCATACAATATATTGGAGAATTCTTACGTAGGGAGAATTATTCAGCCTACGTAGGAATTTCATTCTTGCATTTGTTTTGTGTCTCTTACTAAGGGGGACTGTTTGAGTAAACAAAATTTTGGATTCTCACCTTCTCTGTGGTGCTATGGAGAATGTCAAGACATTCCTGATGTCGACGTCCTAATTTCGTGAACCGGAAAATGAACGGTGGATATTCCCATGGCTTCATGCCGCGGTTATAAATTATAGCGGAAATTCTACAAGAGAGTGGAAATAAAATGAGTAATTAACTCTTAAGAAATTACATTGATGTGAGGGAAATTTTATTGGTGTCGGTTTCGATTCCTTGCGTATATACTTACTCATTAACTGCCGTTACGTAGGGTGAATTGCTAATAGTTTGCGCGTTCACTCGTACTCCCATAATTGTTTCTGAAAATAGATAAGAAATATTTTTGCGAAAAAGACTAGATGTGGTAGGAAAAAACAGATTTGAATATAATGACATTAAAATAAAAAAAATCTTACACCGTGCTCCGTCGGAGTGGGCACATATTCACTTTAGAATCTTTGGACCAAATACGTGTCCATATTTATTATTATTATTATTATTATTATTATTATTATTATTATTATATATTTGTACATATTTATTATTAAACCCACTTCTGTCCCGGTCACTTAGTGTGACACTTCTGTCGCGTGGGAGCGAAGTAGCCTATTGAAAGTAGCGAATGTTTTTCGAGTGCAGGGAGGGAATGCTCACGTGACTCTAACAGCTAGTGTATAGTATGCAGGCACCCACAATAGTTACTCGCTCTTTTTTGGTGCCTTTGGGCCCAGGGAGAGTAGCGTCAGTTGGCATTTCACGCATATGAATTCGGTTTCCACGGAACTACGGCGTGTAAAGTCGATTGAGAGAAGGGCGGGGCCGGCCGTGCCCGAAACGTCTTTGCCGGTGAGATGAATTGAATTGAATTAGTGCCTTGTTTTACGTGGCGGGACTCGGGCCATCAGGCCCGCTCTTTGGTCTGACCACGAAAATTTAGCTACGCTCCTTTTACCAACTAGCAGAGAAAGGAGATATTTTTTGGGTGAGAAATTGGCGATTTGAATTTAGCTCAGAGGCGTAATTTATGCTTGAGCATCTTTCACATGCAAGTAAATCTACATGGGACAGCCGGCTTTACTTCCCCTCCGAAGGAAGGCGTACAAAGGATTTTTTCGCCTTCAAAAATCCACGGCTTCGATCAGGTTTGAACCCGCCAACTTGGGTACAACAGTCCAGTACGCTAACCATTACACCATCGCCGCCGTCCGCGAGACGCGAAGTAATGTTGTGGTGGAGGAAGGAACGTTTCAGAGATGCTTGTAAACATCTGCCAGGTGGGCTGTGAATGAGCCGACGGTGCGCCCGCGCGTCGGGAACAAAGGATGCCCTTACTAATGACATCTCTTCGGCAGTCTGGTCCCGCACAGACGCTCTACGAGAAGCCCTTTAATTGTTTTATTTTGGCGGCAATTGGCACGGCACTGGAACCGTGAATAACGCTCCTACGTAGACCCATTCAGCACGAATTACTTTATTGCCTGTGAATGCTTTCGATGCGCAGATGCGCTCTGGACAAAGTGGGAGACGTTTCTGAGAATGGAGGAGAAGAAAGGTTTAAAAGCCGGTGACCACGCGGGCGCAGGCACTTAGAAGCTGCGTCAGGTAGCGATCGCGAGATTGAACGCACAATGATATGCTTTTTATTGAATTTCTGAAAAGTAACAACATAATTATATTATAGCTTGACTTGTAAAATACAAGAAATACTGATAGACAACTTTTCAAAAACTGCTAGGGTTCATATGCGGGGAAAAAATGGAGACGCCCGCCCTCCTTGTAGCACATCTTCTTTACTATTGGCTCATTGTATCGCCACAATTGTTGACAGTAAACGTTGTGATTTAACCTGGCCGGAGTAGTCATCCGACCGGAAGATATTATATTGAAAGCAACATCAACGATCACAGATGTCTCATTTTACACAGTCTGTGCTAGCACAATGGCAGCATATCCGTTGACTCTTCCGCGAATCAGACCGCAAGGTCATAGATTTCAACGCTGGCTGATTTTCGACACTGGTTACTGAGTTTCATCGAATTCAACCACTGACTAAGCAAAGAATGTATCGGCCAGCTACTCTGATCGGGAGTTGTACGTAGTTTCTCTAATACAACCTGCCGAGAGAGAGGGGCTCAGTGAATCAATTGTTGCTACTGCAGTGTCTCCAAGGGGACTAAGTGGGAGAATGTTCTAAGTTCGAGTCCCGCAGATGCGAGATTTTCGACACTAGCTTGTCAGCTATTTCGAATTCAGTCGCTGTCTGGAGGAGATGTCTAGAGGCGAATAATCTGATCGTTAGTTTTCCGTAGATTCTCCGATCAACACCAGCCGAATGCCGGAGCGGTACCCTAACAAACTGGCCAAGGACCGAGCGATCTTGCTTCCTCTTCCTTGTCCTATCCTTCCCTTCACACGCACTCGCACTAACGTGCACCACACTACCATGCATGCAGGGAGACCGGTCGGGAGTCTAGAGCTTACCCCTGCTGGGACATCATTATGATACTTTATTTTCTAAAGACACAATAGGAAAATACAACGTAAATTCAAGAAATAAAGGGAGGTAAGCAATGTTTGAGAATACCTTTGCAACGTTTCTGGATATACTCTTCTCTTTTTACATTTCGCATATGACTTCTTGTTGCCCAAGCGCCAAACACTCTGATGATGGAGTGAGCAAGTGTAAGCGGTTCTCAGGAGATTGGTTTATAATTGAGAGGTTAGCTGTCAAGTAGTCGAGCGTATGTTGCCCGAAGGGGTGGATAGTCGACAGATTGGGCAGGAATGGTGGGGACAAGAAAGGGCTTTATTGAGAAGAGCATCTTGTAGAGAGGTCAGATATCCGTTATTGAGGCATACGTCTATACACCTAGTGAAGAGGACATGCCTGCGGCTTGGAGAAGGGTTAGGTATTAGGGCAAGGAGAAGGCCAAGGGCCATTATTGACGCATACACCTTCTGAAGAGGAAGTACCTACTGGTGGTGTACATACCGTAGATGACGTCGAGGGTGTGCAGATTGAGATTGGCCAGGTACTCCGTTATTGTGCACGCGCCAAATGACGTCGAGAGTGAGCAGCTTGGAGAGGGGGCAGGTATCTGTTATTGACGCATACACCTAGTGAAGAGCAAGAGCCTAACTGGTGGTTGCACGTACCGCAGATGACGTCGAGGGTGAGCCAGCTTGGAGAGGGCCAGGTATCTGTTATTGACGCATACACCTAGTGAAGAGAAAAGCCTACTGGTGGTGCACGTAGGCACAGATGACGTCCAGGGTGAGCAGTTTGGAGAGGGGCCTGATATCCGTTATTGACACTTACACCTAGTGAAGAGCAAGAGCTACTGGTGGTGCAGACCACAGATGACGTCAGGGTGAGCAGTTTGGAGAGGGCCTGATATCCGTTATTGACACATACACCTAGTGAAGAGCAAGAGCCTACTGGTGGTGCACGTACACAGATGACGTCGAGGGTGAGCAGCTTGGAGAGGGGCCAGATGTCGAAGGCGCGGCCGTCCGCTTGCTTGCGCAGCTGACGGATAAACTCCTCCCCGTTGCTGTTGAACACGGGCACGAACTGCTCCAGGATCTTGAAGTGGAACGCCGGCGTCAGCATTTTGCGACGAGAGTGCCACTTCTCTCCTGGAGTTGACAAATTACTTAATTTGATAAAACGGAGATACTTAAAGCATTACCAAATTTACTTCTATATATTGTGTCTTTGATACCGCAAAAGTATTTTTAAACACCGGGACACCGCCCTATTAGGTCCGTACGTTTATTATCTGTAAGCTACACAAACGTCTAAACCAATCGTGAAATTTTTATAAATTCAATATTCCATAATAGACCCAAACCATCTCAAAGCGCAGTGATTTATTTAATATGTAGTTCCTTTTCTGAAGCTCCCAAGACATTTTCAACACTTTCTCAAAAAATATTCCAATTTTTTAAAAGTCATGTGTGAAATTTGTGTGTTTTTAAAATAATTTTTGATACATTGATATTTACATTACAAATTTATTCTGCATTTTTTCATTTGTGAGTAAAAGCGGTTCGAGTTATTTTTTATACAAAGTTTCTCGGAATCTCAATTTTTTCTTTGAAAATGCGCGCACCTAGAAAATCTCTAACATCATTATATAAAAAAAATAGAAATTTTCTGGTTGCCTTATTCACACAAAGACAAGTTTGACTCATATACGATATTTTGTCAGAATTTCATTCTACTATTATGCGCTCGAAATATGCAGAAAGAATGAAAAAATGGCGCAATTCTTGCTCACACTTTCGTCCATCAAAATAAATATTTCATGAAACTTAACAAAACCATTGTCCCATATGCAAGGTGCTGTAAATAGTATATTCCTCGACAGTAATTTTAAAGTTTCTAATTCTTTAAAAAAAAGTTCATTAATGAGTGCAATATAAATCGATTTTAATCCTAACTTAACTTTTTTCTGTTGTTGGTATTGCTTACATACTGACAATGTAAGCAACCTAATTGTGACACAATTATTCAGATAATAATGATTAATAATTTTTTATCTAATGCCAATACTTACCTGAAGACATTAAGAGACCATCTCCCAACCAAGGCTTCATGAAGAAGTAAATCAAACCTTTGTTCAGGTAATCATTTGATGCCAAAAGTTTCTGAAATGAATGTTTCATAATTGATCAGAAATATAATATTGTAGTACTGTGATATGAAATGAGAAGCATTCAGGCAAAACCACACAAGTCCTAGGGGTAAACATTGAGTTAGCATTGCAGTAATACTAATATCAGTCAGCTTCATCATCTATCGGCATGTGAAGGAAAAAAATCATATATATCCCTAATAATATCACTTGTAAACATACGACGGCCAGGTACAAATTTGGTTTGTCCACAGCTTTATGACGATTACATGACTCCTCATGCCACGTGGTTTATTCTGTCTGTGACATCGCAACAACGTCCTACTCTATTTATTAGAAGATTGGGATCTAAAAGGCAAAAAACTTTGAAGCGCAGGTGAAAAAACGTAGAGAACATTAGAATAGTGAAGCGAATCATTATTCACAAAACAGTGAAAGGGAACATATAAAGGTATCCCCAACACTATTTTAGATTTTATGAACTTATTTTGACATATTGGAAACATGGTTATTCATAACAAATATGGTACAATTTAGCCTTCAGAAAGTGTAACTAGCAAGGGGTACACTATTGACAAAGAGATCTAATGTAGCAGGTTTATTAACTGAAATTTTAGAAGATCACATGGAAAGAGCTCTTCAGACACTCCTGGCCTGGAATGGTATTCCTTTGCTCTTAATGGAGTAATAGCTGAAAATCAAGCTGTAATGGATAGCTAAGAACAGCAAGGTATTTGTCATTGTTCAGAATGTGATCATGGTTGCTACATACAAATGTTAATTTCTTTTTAGTTCTTTGTAATTACTTTACAGGCCAAAAAATGGTTTCATTGATTACAGTAATTGTAAAATATTTGCCCACAAACTGTGGTAAAATAATTTTTCCCAATCAAATGTGCTGATAACAGTAGCTAAATTGTATGTAAAGGAAAACGTCTGCACCGGTGCTTCGAACAAAAGCAAATATGTCCAAATATTCTAAGCATAAACAAACATGTCTAACTTTTAACCTGAAATATTGTCATAATTATAACTTAGATTCTAATTCTGAAATTAAGTTTGAGAACTTGGTGGCAGAATACACTTACATAACACTACAGAACTAACAACTAAACAAAACTTAATAACTTCACAAATTAACATGAACATTCCACCGTGCAAGTTTTCATAGCACTCCACCTCGCAAACACCGCACACTGCACCGCACTGAGGATCACAGAGTTGTAATGTCTTTCTTACACACTGGCGCGCAGATTTGGCTGTAAACTAGCAAAGCGTGACTCGGTTGTGACGTCGCCTCCCCTATCTAACCCTTAGCCTCTGTTTGGGGTCTTTTCTGTCCCCATGCGCAAATAGTGTGTTGCAACATTCTGAAAGTGATTCTCATTAACTCCTCCTCTAGATACACTATTTATATCCAATTTTACGTGTGTTGTAACACGTGTCCAAGTGTTCATTTCCGTTTTATAATATAATGTCGCTGCTTATGAAGGATAATCTGGCGTATTTGTCTATTACTGGTTAGTTCTCGTATCTTTGTATCAGACATGATCATGCTGATATGGTAGCAACTACGTATAATTTGAAGAGTTATGAGGATATGCGATAATGTTTTATGAAATATATATTTTTTGTTTTTTTAGAACGATATAGTAAATGAAGCAAATAAATGGCATCATTTTCTTAAAAAACGAATTCTCAATAGTATCCATGCAAGTGATGCAGGAATAATGGGTAAAGCGTGTGGGGTCAAATCGAACCCCAAACAGAGTCCACGTAAGTAACGGAGAAACAGTCGAGGGGGAGGGGACTGCGAGTGTCGGAGTGGCAGTTTGGCAGCCAAAGGAGAGTCGGACGGGTACGTGGTACTGGACGAGATTTTAAAATAGGTCATGTACATTTTGTTGAGACAACGAATAGACTTGCACTTGTAATTAATGCAATTATAAGGGAAAACATTCTCTCCAAAACAGCTCCATTTTTTCTCGAAAAGAGCAAAGTTCATTTATAAAAATAGTTGAGGTCTCATTTTCGGTGGTTTGATATTTTTAAAAATTGTAAAGAATAGTGATAAAATGTTAAACTCATATAAGCAGAAAGTAGTAATCACATCATGAAATTAATATTACTTTCTCGTCCATACGAAGGTACTTTCCTAAGAAAAGAAAGTTATAAAATCGAACGCCGAAAAACGGCACATTTTGGGTAGAAAACGCTTACTGCTGGTCCCTGACAAAGAAAAAGTGAATAAATCCCGTTGCTTAATATATAAAAAAAACTCTTATTAATTAGATCGCTGGTGAGGTAGATACCTTTTTATCATGATAAATAAATAAAGATATTGTCTGGTATCAATACTATTTATTTAGCTTATGATCGTTTCGATCGCACAGCGATCATTCTCAGAGCTTGCAGCTTCCGGGCCGAAAACAAAGTTTTCAAAAACTTTGCCGAATTTGCTCTTGCTCTTTATTTATTTATCACAAAATAATTCCTTTCGGTTTAATGGAAGGGTCTGGCTGTGAGAGAAAACTGAAGTTAACATGAAGCTATTAAAGCTTTAAACGAAGAAGCTTTAAAAGACGAAACTATTGCTTAAAGTTAGGAAAGGTTCTAATAATAAAAGTTCAAAACGATAGAAGAGTAACTTCTTACTTAAACATAGATAAAGAAACTAGGCTGAATTCCGACGTATGTATGCAGTAGGTATGTGATGGTTAAACCGTAGGACAGCTCCTGCCCTTTCCTGACAATGTTAAATGTTAAGTCTAATTCTCAGAACCTATGTACGTTTCACTTATGAAATTTTTACAGGTTTCAGATATCGTACTCATAACACCACTAAAGCATTTGAAAAATATTTACTATTTTTTTTAAATTTAAGGTCTTATAACAGCTAGATTACTTGCGACCACTATATATTAACGATGTGATTAATAATATGACGTGATATGATAATGGTGAGGGGTGAAAGGACGAACACAAACACAACCACGCTCGAGGCGAGAATCAAACCCGCGATCCTTCAGTCCGAGATCGCTACGGCACTACTGCCTTAGCAATCTTGGCCATCTGGACGATGTTTGCTATTCTTGTAGACGAAAATATTTTCTCTTAATGCAATTTTTTACCACATTTTGTAGGAAATAAAGTTCTACAGAATGGGCAATAATAAGGTAATGCGGAAGAAATTGTTTTCGTAAATGTAAGAGACCTGTATTGACAACTGCTGAAAATGTCAGTTTCCTATCACAAATGTAAGTTGATGAAGATGCATATAGTATTTAAAATATCAACTTTCTGGAAAAGTGCTTTAAAGATACAACTCTCAGAACATGCCAGATCAATAAAGTTCGGTAGAATAGATAGGAAAGTTTTATGTATATTATAAGACGGTAGTCAAGAGAGAGCTGGGAGGTCGACTGAGACTGTTTTATAAGAAGACCTACTATAAAGTTAAAATGGAAGTAAACGCAAGTGGACAATTTTTGGATAAGAATTGTACAAAATATAATAGGAGTGGACAACAATTCGTTAAAATAAGGTATTTTTTTACAGAAAAAGCACGCACTTAACTTTCTAAGGAATATTTACATTATATGTTGAGTGTTCAAAAATAATAATATATTATTTTCTATATACCACACCTAATACGTCACTTCATCACTTCATGAGAAGAAAGGTATTTCTTCATTTGGCAATATAAATTACTCACCTCATGATCTTGATGGCGACCCGTTGTCACAACAAGAACAGGCCCTATGTAACTTCGATGTAGATTTCCATATTTGTTCCAAATATATTCAATGTATTTGGTAAGCGCTGAAATACAAGAACATTAAATACATTCCATTCACAGTTCAAAATTAAAGCTAACTAAAAGCTATAGTTATGAATCCATAGAGGTATAAGATTGATTGATAGCTACCCTCCCTTAGTGTAGTGCACTTTTTATTTCGGGAAGTGGTGGCGATGGCGCTCGCTGGCGAGGTCCGGCGCCGAATCCCGTCGGCTTGTGGGGTTTTCCCCTACCAGGTATCTCCCATCAGTGGGGCACCGCCGCACCCGGGACAGGCTCTAAGCTCCCGACTGGTCCCCCGTCTTGTGTGGTAGTGTAGTGCTTCTTAGTGTATGTGTGTGCATGTAAGTAAGGGGTGAAGACAGGTTAAGGAAGAGGAAGGAAAGATCGCGCCCGGTTCGCGGCCCATTTCTTAGGGTGCTTCTCCGACATTCGCCCGGAGTTGATCAGATAAACCACTGTAAGATACCGATCAGAGCACCTGGCCGCCAGAATTCTCCTCCAGACAGAAGCTGAATTTTTCTGAGATGTTTAGCGAGTGAGGCAATTCTGCCACCGTCGGGACGCGAACCCTAGGACCTCCCAGTCGGAGACAATGCAGTGACATCAGTTGACTCTGTGAAGCATCTTTGCCACTCACAGATGTATGTGACCTGATGTATGACAGAGACGACTAAATCTGTCATACCAGATGTATGACAGACACAACTAAATATGGTTACCATATCATCTGACAAGACACAACACAATTCCATGATGTTGACAATATTGGTCATGTAATAGGACATATACAACCAGAAGTGGTCGGAACGTTTTTGCAAGAATATGTAAAAAAGAGATTAGTCAGACCGTCTTAGTGATTAAACTTAAATGATAAATTATTAATTGAATGAAATGTTGTATTGTTATGGAAGAGTTAAACATAATGAAACATTTTAGAAGTGTGAATGGGGAAGATAAAAATAATGAGACCGGTAGTATTAGTGAGAACGGAAAAAATATCTGAATCTGAATGGTGTTTGTCAGTGTTAACCGTGTATACCACGTGGTGTCAACAAGTTATACATTTATATAATAATTAGGAATTTTAGGATATATTCTGACTAGTTGTACATTTGTTGCGTCTACTTTGACGTAAGGCGTCTCCCAGCCCCTCTGGGGTCGTTGAGCGCTTTGCGCTTGGAAATAATCTTCCAGTAAGAATCGCGCTTAGGAATAATCCTCCATTCACATTATCTGTCCTAATACGACCTGTCTCGCCGCAGTTTGTTGCAAAGGGGCCGCCAGGAAGCATCTTCGTGTACGCATTTCCTCCACCCCGCGCTCATGTCTCTCCCGAGCGACCAGAATTGGGAAGGACTTATAGGATAGGGAAGGGTTTAGGACGCTTCACAGAAGTTGGTATAGCCCCTGTAAAACAGGCAAACTCCTTTTGTGGGAACAAATTTTACATGAGCTTGTTCAGGAATCGAATGTTTGAGACCTTACTCAAAATATCGATTCCGGTTTGAAACTGATTTCGAAAATCAAACTTATTTTTATGTAAATGTCAGTGGCGAAGCTAACATAATAACTTTGGGTGGGATGAATCATGATTATCTATTTTTTGTTTTATATTTTACCTTACATGTTTTTAATCAACGGGTACTACGTCGGTTTTCATGATCGCAAATTTATCAATTTAAAATTTTGATCACCCACCAGCTCTTTCAGTTGATTTTTTCAATGGAAATTTTATTCTGAGAACTAAGCCTTTCATTTTTAATTGAATTACGGAGACAATTCTTTTCTCTTTTGAGAGTACTCATACTTCTCCTTGTCGAAGCTGTAGTTATTGGAAATCATTAAGCTGTAGTTATTGTCAGAATTATCTTTGCCAATTTTGTAACTTCCTTTTAGATATTCTGATGATCATTTTCTAGAATGTACTTTATCACGTCTCTGGCAGGTAAGTATTTTTCTTTGTCGATATAAATTTTTGGTTACGGTGACACTACATGCAGCTAATGTCCGTTCTTTTTCACTTCTATTTAAAAAATACAAGTATAACAATATAACGTATTACTTTGAAAACACCCTGTTACCCAACGATACTTTTACGACTATACGACTATGGTCCGTGTGCATGTTATGTCATCGGTGGTGGCGGTGTTTCTATTACGATTGAACGTACATTTCCGAGCCTACGTGTGTGGGATTTCCCTCTCGAGGTATCTTCATCGGCAAGACACTTTTTTAATCAAACCAAACTCTAAGCTGTAGACAGTTCTCTCAGCGTGTGTGGTAATGTATTGTATGTAAGTGTGAGTGTATGCATTAGGTGAAATAGAGGAAGAATAATGTGGAAGGAACGATCACACACGCGTCATTTCCATTTTATTCAGTTTTAAGTCATAGGACTAAAAACTGAGACGTGGAGTTTGAAGGATACTGCCAGTTACATTATTTAGTGCGTCTTTAGAAAATTATGGAATACAATACCTTCAGAGTCTCCACAAAATACTGCTAGCAAATTGCCGAACAAAGGAAATGCGGGAGGTCCTGGGAACTTGGCTCCGAGAATAATCAGATGAACCCGCGCCTTTGCCAGTCGCCATACTACTAGTACGGTCTCCACCAACCACGTGATGAGCCATGCTAACGGCTTTAACGCCCTGTAAACGTAGACACAAATATTTTAAGACGTGTGCATTTTGGAATCCTTAAACAATTTGAGCATCTAAACATTATCAATAAGTTCCCTCTCCCACTAACGTCTATTCTAACCCTCCTCAAATAGCTAATTTAACCGTATTCAAACCGGTTAGATAATTTAAACATACACATATATCTGGAACAAAAATAGTGCGGCGTTATGGTTTTTTCACTTCGTTTACATAAGGTTTTTTTCTTAGGGTGAAAGTACAATAATTTTCTTGCTTACTTCCTTACTTTCCAAGTTCCTCCTTTTTTCCTCCTTCCTTACTTCCTTTCCTTACTCTCAAAGTTCTTCCTTTTACTTTCCGTAATTACTTTCCTTTATTTCCAAGTTCCTCCTTTTACTGATGCACATCGCGCAACGAGTGCTTACCATATCGTACATACGTTCCCCACTGGCTTCTTTGCCATGGTATGGTATGTCTGCTCATAGTCTCGCCTACTAAAGCAGTGCCAGCCGCTTCCATGTCACATTGACACGCGATACTCCCTGTTTGTTTGCTCAGCGCTGGACTGCATGGGAGTGATGAGAAGCAGCCCTACGCCGTGCCTGTACATGTCTGGTTTCGCTACATCTAGGATTTGACCTTGCGACCATTTCATCGCGCCGGCCCTCAAACCCACTCTGTCTTCCGGGTCGCAATCGTTTTGAAGGTCATGTAGGGTGACAAGAATGATTGTTTCTATTACAGATACGGAAAGATGAGAACGACATAATTTTAAAAAATAATTAACGTACGAAATAATATGTAAATGACGCTAAATACAAAATGTTATCTTTATAAATGATAAGATTTAAAGATGGTCCTCTTTGTTGCCATTAACGTGAAGGGACGCTAGAAACTCTGACGGCATACAGCAAGGTCTGGCGCAATGTCGTCCAAACAAAATATAGTATCTACACGAATCTGATGCGCCATTGAATCTAATGACCATCCCATACTTGAAACTTAAAATTTTGAAAAAAAGGTTTTGTGTCGAATGTAACGCGCATCAATCACAAAATAATAGATAAGGTATTTCATTTAAATTTATATAATATAACAATGGATTTATCGTATACATAATTATCATTCTAACTGCTTTTCTGCTGTTTTATGCTTTAATGAAGTATCCCGAGAAGTTTTTTCTGTTTGTCTTTCATATTGTAACAAAAACCCTCAATAATAGGCCAATAATTAATGACACGACAACAATCCCTTGTGACGACGTAAGAAACGAAAAAACTGAATGAAGTTACATGCATTTTTCGGAACGGATTTGCAATCAAATCCCATTCGCCATCGAGTCTAAGACGCACCACGATTTTGAGTACTTTATTTGGTAAAAAAAGTACTTATTATATTTGCGCAAATACCGTGTATTGTTTCTCTGTCACACTAAAAAGGTAGGTAGTACATCTACTTCAAGGACACAGGTGACTTTTTCTTCTGGAGATGTTTCAGTGACGACACGCAACAATGAGATGAAAATAACTAAAATTTGTCGGAGACATGTGTATTATTCTGCTGGACCCTGCAATATCTCGACCCTGGAGGTCATGGGATAGTCAAGACGGTGCTGTATTTTCGACACTTCCTAGATTATTAGGTGATATTCAACGGCTGCTGTTAGAAGTAAACTTCTGGCGGCCGGCTGCTCTAATGAGTAATTTTCCATGATTTCTAACAATACCACGCTGAAATAGCAACGGAAAAAGCCGGAATAGCAACTTATCAAACCTGCTGCAGACCACGCCCAATCTTTCTTTCCTTGCCTTTGTTCATTTTTTTCCCGTTACACACACACACACACACACCTCCTACACTAGTACACATGTCGGGAGATCACACGGAAGCATAGTTTGTCCCGGCTGAGACTATGCTATCCTGGCAGAGAGACCTGGATAGGGAAACCTTGCAAGCCGATTAACCTCAAGACGTTTAGGTGGGTGTCGGATCTCACGTTGCTGTTGTGATGGAGTATCTCGACTATCCGCCAAATGAAATGCACTACGCTAGCATTATGGTATTACATGAACCCGCAAAAGTGTTTGACCCGAAAAAATTGTTTAACCACAGAAATTTAAACGCGGTTACTTAGGTTTCTCAAGCACTTGAATTATTCGCTACGCCAAACGCCTGATATGTCGCATGAACTTTCCGAATCCTACAAAAAGAAATACATCTGCAATTTTCAAACATTTAGAGGTTTAAAAAATCTACTTCAGTATTCAACTTGAAACTTGAAACTATGTCATTGTGAAAAAATATTTCTCCAACAACGTCGAAAACATTTCAACTTTTCTAAAATTCAGAAAAATAAACCTGCAACATTTTTATGAGAAACATTTTTGTAATTGAGAAAAAATAAAAAAAATTCAAACAATTTGTGAAAATGCTTGAAATGACACTGATGCGTAATGTAAAGTACTCAGAAAAATTAGAATATCAATTTTAAATTCAAGGGACCATGACATCAGCATGATCGATAGATGAATATCAATTTTGGTGAAAATCTAATGAAAGTTTTAGGCGTTAGTGGTGTTCCGAGACTGACGGACAGAAGTAATTTTTGGATTTTAAGGATCTATATAAGGTGGATTCTGACTATAGAACATAACAGAAGAAGATAGTTACTTTATAACAGGAGCAATATTTATCCACTTTCCGGTATGGCGACACGAGTTTTTCGGTAAAGAAACAATTTTCCGTTGCAGTGTTATTGAACTTTCTCTTTACTACATAGGTAGCTGAACGGCGAGGGATAAAAGGGTTCGTACAATCGGAGACGCTTTCTTCGTTTACTTAAATTGCTAGTGAAATATAGTTCGTTCCACTTACGATTGCAATTATTGTTTTGGTTCCTGGCAATAAAATAAAACTACGAAAATAAACCAACTTACCACAACTTGAATTGTTATGTTCGTCTGAGCAATAATTAACTATTATTCCAAGAATAGACGAGATCGTAATTTAATTATAACATGAATAAAATATTTCATATATCTCCTTTAAAAACATTTTATTACACATTAATCTACTTAATATTTAGTAAGATCTTTTTATAGTATTTAGTATTCCCGAATAAAAATCTCATTTAATCACTCGTATTTTGTGGCCAATACACAGGCGGAAGGATAGGAATAGACTGCCGGAGCGGCGAAAACCTTGTACACCAGATCGCCTGGCTTGCGATTCCAACTTCGACCTCAGCCGCGACCTCGAGTGTGAGCAACGAGGCGTCTACCGCCTGTCTGTAATCTGTATTACCAACTTCAAAACGTTAAGATTAAAGATTTATTGTGTTAGAGTAGTAGTTACCAAAACGAGTCTGTAAAGAGGGGTATAATTGTATGAGCATGAGTTCAAGGAAACGAGCGACGACAGGGGTGTGTTTGTTTCCATTTAAGAATAACTTAATTTTTGAGAATTACAGTACATCTTTACCATCCGAGGCATACATTTGATGACGTCTTCTGAAAAATATATATTTTAGTAGAATATAAAAATATATAGTTTTAGACATTGCAATGTGTTTGTTAGCAAGAAGTGTTTGAAAATGGAAGGTATTGTACATTTCAGGTAAAATATGAAAGACGTTGACACGGCCGTGAAGCTTACTTCCCACGCAAAGTTAAGGCAGGTATGAGATATAATACAACATATGTAAATATTGGGCAGTAAAATAGTCACTTTTGGCACAGTTTTGATGGCGCACGTTTTTGAACAGGTAAACACAACTGACGTTAATATTTTTTTACATTTGTAAAGGTAACACATGTTTTGCACGTAATACATTTAATTTATTCATGTTAAATATTTTATGTTTTTTCATTAGTTCTATAGCTTAATGTTTACTTCTCCAATTTACTTTTATTCATTCGTTGTTCATATATAGCTAATGTACGTACACTACCACTAAAGTGTACATTTTTGTTCTTGTCTCACCGACTGGAAATAACTTTAACACGTTTGTGTTGTAGTGTCTTAATTAAACGATTTTTCCCTGTTTCTGAATTCTGATTGGTAGTTGTGGTTTATTAATTGCCACCGCTCCCGCACGTGCTACTTGCCCGCCTGCGGTGCTCGGCGCTCCTTACGCGCACGTGGAACTTTCCCTGACTCGTTCTATTTCCCCTCCAAATCCACAAAGGGGTGTACACTCGCAAACTGATACGACGCGAGGTAACCAATAATAGCTTCATATGAAAATGTTTGCCAGATTTTTCTAGCAAATGATCGAGAATTCTGGTATGTTTACATTCTTCACTACTTATTACTATCTGATATTTATTTTCTTACTGAATTCTCCCTCACATTAACGTTTTTGCTAAGTGACAGAAACATGTTTGAATAGCAAATGTTTTCCTCATTTTCGTTTATATTCGTGTTATTAAAACATACAGCTATTTATTTCATTTTGCAACAATGCGAAGTAAATTAACAAGTGTCTACAAGTTAACAATTCTCGCATACGGACGGAGAGCGCTTTTAACAGGCAAGACTATTTGTGTGTTAAACCTTCCAACCTGAACGTAGAAAGTTCATGCTTTCATATCGCTCTTAAGTAAACAGGATTCCAAAACGTAGATACTTTTCATTCTAAGCTTTTCGAATTTTACTTCCAATTGAGGTTTTGAAATTGAACTGATATATTATTTCGTTTCAGAGGATTGTTTGCTTGCCTTAAAAAGATAATGAGAATTAATTAGCTAAAATTGGGGCAATAACTATCACCTGACTTATCGAAAGACTCTCATGGGCCAGGTATTCAATGCTGTACCGCCACTCCGCAGCAATTTGTACAATTCTTTCTATCAAATATCGCGCTAATTTCTCTAGTCGCAGTGTCCGCGAGCTCTAGTAAGCTTGTCACCTTGCTTGAGACTTTGATATACCTGCTGTAACCTATTACTAAAATTAATTTCTCCTTCCCGGGAGGAACTGTGTGATGACTTAAGTATGCAAATCGGAGTACTAAATTGCTAAGTTTATTCTTCATATTTTTCTCACTTTGTGGACTATATTTTGTATTATAACATAATGCAGCAAAATATAATAATTGCGCGTTGCGTTGTTTATCACTGTTTACACAATATTTCTAAGAAGAGTACCTTAGGAGATGCAGAGAGTTGGAAATACCAGTGGCTTGCAGCAGGAAAAATGGTGCAGAACAAAATCATACCAAATAGTTTCCATAAATTAGCTCGGACTCTGCTCAAGATCAAAAAATATAATACTCTCATATAACATTGCAATAAATTAAATATGTTTACAAAAGCACAATACACAAATTCATTATAGAGACAACAGTTCTTTACATACCCACCAACAATATAAAAAAATCGATTCTCCACGACACCTAATATCAAATATTTAATAGCGTGCGGTTCCATCTTCGGAGACTTGCTGTCATATGTCGTTAGCTGTGTAGTAAGAATTAAGTTGATACGCGAAGTGTGAGAATAAGCGAAACATCAAAATAAAATATTTGGCTTTTCAGTCAAAATTGAAACTCTTTTATGATTTTGGATTTCACCGAGTTTCTGTTTGTCAAACTAAGTAATAAACTACTTTCACTTATCTGGAGGTTACATAGTTTTTATTTCAATTTTGGCCTGCACTGGAAAATAGAAATATAATGTTCCCAATATACCTCACTAATCTGGAGAGCGTTCAGTAGTTGTCCCGTTTACATCTTAAGCACATCCAGAAATGTTTTTAGATGAACATTTTTTTTGAGTACGTAGATTAAAAATAGGTTTATTCAATTGATATATTTTGCACTTTTTGTGTTTTTGAGTATTCGCTATTTTTTCAACTTTCATTAATTTTCTGAAAGAACACTCTCTTTAACGTTTAACCACTACAATATTACAGAAAGTGGACCCTATAACGTATTACTATTAAAATTGGATTCAAAAATATTAATATAGCATTGTTTTCTTATTATTCATTGCAGTTTCATTCGACTGATTCTGTATTACGTAGAAGAATTACAATACATTTTAGTAAAGAATGTAAATAAAATAATTTCAACAGGTTCTTAAAGAAAATATCTCTTACCTCAGCAGAATTGTGAAAGTGACCATACTGCACTGTGGAAGATCAGTAACTGTTGGCTGGCAGAAGTGAATTGCAGACTGCGCTAGATGCATTCATGTCCCTCAAGTTCGTTATCACAGATTGTTTTATTCGAGCCATGACCTTTGTATTTTTCTGCATCAGTGTGCATTAAAACGCAGTTTCTTAAACAGATAAAAATTAAAGAATTATAATTCTTATTTTATAAATACCAATATGTACCCAACAAAACTACGGAATGTAGTTTTATATACATTCACACGTCTGTAATTGAGAAGTTTGTTACGTTGCATGATTATAATAATTATGCAGCAACAATATCACAAATGATAGGGAAGGGATTGGGGATACCAAACGTCTAAAATTTCAGACAAATCATAATTTCTATAATTCAAGTTAATGCACTTAATGCTCTGCGAAATAATTTGTAGAAATATAAACTTGAATATTTTTTATTATAAACGCAGAGGACTGTGTAACATAGGATACATGTGGAATTCTGTGTACTTTGCAATCAGAACGTGTAAACTTATGTAGACGTCTTACTGCGTGGTACTGACGAACCTAAACAAATGGACTTCATGCAGCAAATTTGTTCTCCCGTTGATTCCGATATCTGCTGTGCGTCCATTCTGTTTTGTGGTGTGAGGCGTTTGCGTCAAGGTAAGATGTTTTAAAGTGCTAGTATCATTTTCGTGTGTTGCTTACTGTGGTATTTCCTTTTTACTTTCTTGCCTTACTTCACATTAAGAGAAAGTAGTGTACCAGTGCGCCGAAAAACAGCGATTTGTCGACAAACTGCTATCGCTGGACCTTGGGAACGAAGAAATGGATAAATATTGCTCCTGTTTGTAGAAAATTACATTTCTTAACACATTGGGTAGATAAAATACATTTTTTTATGGGTTCTTGATATCGCAAACATCACTGACAGCAATACTGACCATCTGTCTGTGAACAACGCTAGCGCCTAAAACATTCAGACGTTTTTCTCCAAAATTGATATTCCCTTGTCTTGAAGAAACTCGAAGCCTTGCGAAGAATATTTTGATTTTCGGTAAAACTCGATCTGTAAAGGCAATTACGTTTTAATTTTTTTAATGGCTCTAAACATGTTTATTAAATTTTATCCTCGGATAACCTAACAGACGCTTAAAAATAATAGGATAAGTTTCATTCTCGTAGAAATCCCGAAGTTATCAAAGAGTGCAAAAGTTGAATAGAACTCAGCATTAAATTGGTGAATTGGCGTTCGGCGAGGAAGCAACTTACTACATATATGAACTTGATTTATACACATTTAGTTGCCAATTTTTCGTTACTGATATACGTTTTTCTATCGTAACATTTGTTTTTGGACACCCGATTTCATCACTTTCTCTTATTACGAAATATGATGGGAAAGTAAAAATCAAATTAAAATCTTTTTTGAAAAACCTGTAGATTTTACGGAATTTCTGCTTGATATTAATGTGATATATAAAAAAACTTTTTCTCAAAAACAGCTCCAATTTTCCTTTTTCCACACTATAGAATGAGGGACGATTATAACGGCGCATGTTTCAGCTTCATTGAACTATCTGAATTTTCGAAAATTTCAAGTCAGAAATAGTGGCAGAAAGTATGTGCTCTTGTAAACACATTCGTTTCTCTATTAATGTTTTCTTTGTGTTGTGCTTACTACATCCATGTAATATTGATCATTTTTAAATTTTGAATATATATTACTCTTTACCAGTAATGTCAAAACCGTGTCATGACAGGGACAGAGAGACCTGTCGGCTAATGTATTTCGGGGATTTTATCTTCACTGCAACATCACAGACTGGGAGGGCAAGTGTTGGGATCCTGATAATGGTGAAGTTTTGACGCTAAGTAAATTCAGCCCTTATGTGGCGAACTCTAAAAGTGTTTAGTTCGAAGATCAAAGCCTGGTGTTTGAGAATACACTTCATGAAAAGAATATGCATTCATATGTTTTGTAGTATGATATTTTATGGGAAAATACTTGACCTGTTTATACTTATAACTACAAAGAATTTGGAAATGAGAACATTGAATATAAAATTTACATTTTTATTAGTCTATTATTTTATAAAAGAAACTAAATTTTACGATTTTTCTCTCAGAGAGTAGATGAATATATAGATAAAAGACAATCGGAATCGAAAGTGTGTTTATCCTTGATAGCCCTTGCGATTCTAAAATAGTATTTCTGACATTTTTCAACAAATTAACACATTTTCTATTTGGTGTCAGTACAGATATCGTTTTCTTAGTTTAAAGAAAATGTTATATATGGGAAACCGGGTCACGTTCTGACATCGTGTTCACTGACCGGTCCAATAGAGCACAGCTCGTGATTAATTACAAGCTCGTTTCAAATCTTTGTCGCAGTGTGCTCTATAAGTTGCTGAGGAAACCGTTGCTTGATTTGCTTATTTTGGGACGTTTTGTGTTTTACCCGCAGTGAAGTAAACATCTATCGAATTGTTGCTGTCAAACTCTGTAACAATAAATTTGTGGAGTGTTTAACTACTTATGATCATTGACAAATTTATTTTTAAACTATAATTTGTTTTTTTTATTTATATGAATGACAAAATAAACTGAAATATAAAATGGAAATACATATTAGTGTATCTCGGGGCGAGTTTTCTGAGGTTGTAAGGGGCACGATGTTGTTGGGCACGTTAAGAGGCACGTGTCACTTGTTGCACGGATACTGTTTGACAGTACTTATTTTAATTTCAGGATTATATATATATATATAAAGAAATTACAAAATGTGAACTAATGAAAAAAGTTAAAGCTTTGTTAGAAAACAAAAAATCCGTCTTGGAAGTTGAATATGGAAGATGTAGTTTAAGAGTAACTGCTGAAATGTTTAGTATACCAGAAGGTAGCCACTGTTTTCGAAAAATACGGCTTCAATGCCAATGACATTTGGAACATAAATAAAACTGGAGAAGAAACAGTATATGAGCTCAGAAAAAATATTAGCAGAACATAATTGAAGAACACTTAATTCGGGTTAGTCCAATAGGCTGAAGAGAGAAAAGAGAAGGAAAGGCAAGAAATCGAAGGAGAGGGACAAAAAGGGAAGGCAAGGGAAGAGGACGGGAGCGCTTTGTGAAGCATTGGTGATTCCTGCAGAACCCACCCCTGCAAAACATACCCCTGCAGAACGCACCCCTGCAGAACGCACCCCTGCAGAACGCACCCCTGCAGAACGCACCCCTGCAGAACCCATTCCGTTGCACGGCGGGCGGCGACGCGGCCGTGGCGTGCAGCGTTGGCGGCGTCGGACGATCCCTGCCGCTTGGCGGAAGCGCGCCCTAAATGCTGTCGGCTCAGTGGCGCCCGGCGGTGACTGCACCGCGCTTCGTGCGGTCATACGCCCGCGTCATTGCGTGGCTCGCCGTCGCCACCGCGGCCTCGAATCCGCGCGCCCGCACCATCTGGTTACGGCCGCGACCTGATTCCCCGCCCACGCAGTTTCGCGCCCTCATCTCTACCAATTACAGAGACAAACGGTGACGCTACACTGCAGTCTTGCGCCTTCATATCCGAGGACGGCACAGCGTGGTCGCTGCTCACCCGTGATGTACCCGATAATGTCACCAACTCTCGAATTTTAGATTGATTTAGTAAAAAAAACAGGAAAAAACTGTATGAGACGTATGGGGGAGAAGATAATCTGCGCATGTTTTCTTCAGTTCCAGAATCCCTCTCCATCATTTTAACTATAAATAGTTGAAAAATGAATAAAAGTTAGAAACAAATTTAAAATAATAATAGTAATATTTTTTAAAAATGCGTGACGGTAGCAACATTTAAAAAACTAGTCATTATCGTTCCCGCGTTGTAGAAAACTTATTTGCAAAGGTTAACGAACTGTAGATATTATTTTCTCCATTACTAACAAAATACTAGTTCAACCTTACCTCATCTCCTACCACTACAAGCAAAAGGAAAGTTCAACAAAACGTGGCATAGTGAAGGTACATTTACTTTGAAGGTGTAAGACTTTTATTTTACTTTGAATTATAAATTTTGAAGGTATGGGGGTATAAAATTTATATGAAAATAAAACAACACGCGAGAGTTGTTTTTGCTATTGCCTCCCATAACTTCTAAATATCTAACGCAGTTTTCGCACAACAATGGGAAACGTGGGGCACGTAATAAAACTTAGAGAAATTTTTCGTAATAATTTTCATTTTTGAGAACTTTAATCATCTTTGATTTTTTAAAATGGAACTATATATTTGTCTTTATTTCTTGAATACAATTGAGATTAATATGTTATTTGTCTGACAGTAATTTGTGTTTAAAATTAGAGTTTTTGACATGTGATTTTGAATTAATGGCAGTCTCGGTACAACCAAATCCGCATTCGCCGAAGGCTATGGTTACAAGGATTACTACAGAAAATAATGTCCGGTAAATTTAAAATAACATATCAAAATATATAAATAATAATTGTAACATCAATAATAATTGACACATCATTGTATTTTTCATTTTATGAACTATCAATGAGAAAACCATATAGTTCCATTTAAAAAATTTAAGATGATTAATCTTCTGGAAAATTAAAAATATTTCAAACAATATCGCATGGGCGTATTACTTGCCTCATGATTCAACGTTGTTAAGCGAAAACTGTACTTCGGTATTGTGAACCGTTTAGAACTGATGAGGGTGACCCATAGTAGGTGGGACACCTGGATCATGAAAATAAACTATTTTTTTGTTATTTAAGGTCGCAATAACTTCTGGGTCATTAGCGACCACTATTGCTGGTAACAGTATGGTAACTGTGAGGATGATACGATATGACGAAGATAGGGGGTGAAAGGACGAACACAATACAACCATACCCGAGGCGAGACTCGAAGCCGCGATCCTTCGGTTCGAGATCGCTACGGCACTTCTGCCTTAGCGATCTCGGACATCCGGACCGGCGAAAATAAGCTATGTGCGGCTCTCGCCGTTTCTTTCGTGCATAATGATTTCTTTGTTGTGTTGCATGCAGGTGACCAAGCGGTTCTGTTTAATTAAAATGGAGGTTTCGTCA